TTATTTTCGTCGGCAAAATGAGTCCACCGGTGAACACATAATCGTCGGCCAGACTGTCATCGCTGGCGGCCGTCATGTGTTTGACTCCCGCGTAGAGTCGCAGGAATCTCTCGTCGCACTGACTTCTGATCTCTTGTTTGATGTCTTCGGGAATACCAGTGCAGCTGAAGACCAAATGTTTGCGAGATTTGGTGGCGTTTCGCTGCAGATATTGGTGACGACAGTACAGACATATGGGTCGCGAACTGACCGTCAAATCAAAATGTTGCCAAATATTTATGCGAGACTTGTGCCGAACGAATCCCGTTTGAGTGACAGCGGGAACCGACGGCGACGCAACCACTTCAACGTCAGCGCCCAATAAACTATCTTCCGGATCAATAGCCATATCCTCTACTTTTTCTTCATCTTCTTCAACGTCTTCCTTGTCTTCTTCTTCCTCTGTCTTTTGATTATCGATAGGTTTGTCATAAAACTCGTCAAAAATCGCGTTTTTCGTTTCCACTGAAATACCGGTGCAGTTGGCGATCAAATGTCGGCGACATTTAGTGGCATTCCTCTGCATGTATTGGTGGCCACAATAGCGGCAAATTGGATGCCTTTTGTCGGTCATATCAAAATGAATCCAAACGTTGCGTTTGGACGTTGGTTTGACGGCAGTCACCTCTTTGGGCTCAAGGCATTCCTCTGCATGTATTGGTGGCCACAATAGCGGCAAATTGGATGCCTTTTGTCGGTCATATCAAAATGAATCCAAACGTTGCGTTTGGACGTTGGTTTGACGGCAGTCACCTCTTTGGGCTCATTCTTTGTAAACATATTGACCTTAGAGTCCGACGTCTGGCAATTCATGAGATAATATTGAGTGCATTCGCCGCGGATCTGCTCTCTAATGTTCGCTGGTATTTGTTTGCAGAGGAAGACAATGTGTTTGCGGCCTTTTGTGGCATTTTTGTGTGAATAGCGGTGACCGCAATACAAACACGAGGCCGTGAAACCGGTGGGTCCGGTGTTGGTCACTGAAAAGTGTCGCCAAATGTCTACTTTGGACTTTTGGCGCCATATGTTCTCGAGATCGCGGATCTCTTGCGGACACTTATCGCACGACTCGACGATATGGAGGCGCGACTGGAATGCGTTCAATGTCTTCGACCGGAACTCTTTCTCACAGAAATTACATTTAATCACTTTGTAGTCCGGATTTTCC